GGATTGCCTCCACTTATAAAGACTGGATCTCCAAGCTATGATACCATCTCAGAATTTGAGTTGGGTCTAACTCATCCTTACAAAACCGGCTTGTAAGGTGAGGAGTGTCCCTGTTTATAAACACAACACAGGTCATATCTCTAAGCAATGTGGGGGCTAAATCCACCCCCTTCAAACACAACACAATGAAGGTATTGAGGACTACAATGAAGGCAAGCCAAGTGCCGTAATTAAGGTGACTAGGAGCGGACTGCAATTAAGGCGGAAATTCCAACAGATTGCAATGACAACACATGTGAATTTAAAATGAAAGAATTCAAGATATCTGTGTTATAGAAACAAAACTAAAATGTTAGACAACTGAATAGTTTTAGCATTTGAAGGGGGGAAGCTACATCCTGACATAAAAACCTTCAAAAAGATCTTACATAAAAGGGCCGTCCTAATGACATATCAACATTTGAAGAATAAAGAGTGTTTACCTGTAGTGAAATTAGAATATTTGAAAGAGCTTGACCATAAGTATCGTGAAAATGGACAGCAAGCTTATCAATTGGAACGACATCAAGAACGGCTTCGAGCATAGGAATGACGTTACCTGTAAAGATGAGGAAGATTAACCAAACCAGAATATTTTATAATGCAATCAGCTTAGACTTTTCATTGTATTCCTTGTGAAATACCGTCTCAGCAAATTCCTTCTTAAGAAAGATTAAGAAAAGGAAACTACTTGTGGAAAACATCAACAATGATCTTTAGCACCGAACGTTATAATTTTTTAATAAAGGATCTTCTACAATAGGTATGTATAATTATAACTAATCATTTACAGAGCTAAGACAAGATCGGGTTTTATTAAATCAAGGAGTCAAATCAACAAGATAAAGATCAATAGCCTTTTAACGTGATAGACAGATACACCAGCACAGTAACCAAGACCAAAAACACCTAAATATAAGCAACAACAGATGAAAGAAACATTACCAGGTGTGCCAACACCAATTGTATCCCCTAATGAAATCTCTGAGATCCCCATCTCATAAAGTGATTTTGCAACGTAAGCTACTTTTGCTGGAGCAACTCTTCCTTCCAGAGGACATCCCACAACACATGATATGTATCTGTAGTGTGTAATAAGTCACGCAATTGACTATATAATTGATATGATGAGTTTGAAAGTAAAAAAGTAACAGTATACTGTTTTAAGATTGTTCAAATGATTTCAAAAAGTAAATATGTTCGAGTAAGAATGATTGGGAGTCTGGCACACATTCTACTATCCGTAAAACCATATTTTTAGCTTAATTTGGGAGAAAACATTGTATGCAAGCTACACCCTCTTCCAATCAACAACTTGTATATCCAATACGGAAAGATTATGGTCGACAACACTCCACTGATGAGTATATAATATTACCGCCAAATATAGTCATTAACAAAACAAATCAGTGTATGTTTCAACTTGATGTCAGAACTAAATGAAACTGCCAACATGGAAATAGGTACTTCAGCTATGATAAAGGGAAAGAAATTGAGAGAAAATGAAGTTCATCTTTCATGTATCTAATGAATATTTGTTACAATGAATGATTCAACTGAATCGAAGACTTTATAAGAGTTATTCTTCCGCTCAGATCTAAATCATTAAAATGAATAACCTTTTGTTTTAAATAGAAGGAACGCATAAATTTTCAGAAAATACTCAAATTTATCCATCATTAAAATGTATGAATAAAAATCATACCCACGAACTGGGATCTTGAGGCTTCTAGAAGCTGAAGCAATATCACGGCAACGAGCAAGGTTATCCTCAATGCCACAATTGAGATTTGCTTTAGAGAATGATTCAGAGGCAGCAGGAAAAACAGCCACTTCCTTAGCTCCAGCAGCAACAGCTGCTTCAAAACCCTGCAAGAAAGGGGGTAAGTAAATGATCATAACCATCCACAAATTCTAAATCTGATAATACATTTACCATTACCTATAATTCTTACTTTGAGATTTGGAGTTAAGACAGGAAAGCTAGCACCTTCAACGTCTTGAATTGCTTTCAGTACATCCTTTGCATCTGCCAACTGAAATCAGTTATTAAGATGTGAAATTGGCTGGTCAGAGGATCACAAGATTCATTAAAAAGTGTACGGATGAAAAACACTTCTGAAATACAACAAAAATCATGACTAACACTTCTAACAAAAAGGAGGTATAGATAGATAGTAGTAGCATCTGCCCAAGAGACCTAACCAAGTCTTGAAACAAGTAAAGAAAAGACACGATCACTATTCCTGATAACAGACATGGAAATAGAATTTTTAAAAGAGAAATACAGGAAAAGTGATCAAGATGAGAATCTCCGGACACATTGAATTGACAAATAAAAGCCTGCATGAGATCTAATGAAAATAGCTTACAGAAATAAGGTAGAAAATGAACCGTAAATAAATAATAATGAAAAAATATATATATGAGAAGAGTATTTAGTTGTCTCTATAAAATAAAAAATGATTGATTATCTCAAGGAAAAATGAACATATTCTTACCTGTGGCACCCATTTTGGTGAGACAAAACTTGTCGCTTCAACAACAGACAACCCAGAAGAAACTAGCAGTTTTATCAATTCAATTTTCACATCAGTGGGAACAATAACCTTCTCATTTTGCAATCCATCCCTTGCACCAACCTCGACTATCCTTACAAAGTCTGGAATATTTTTAAGAAGCTGAAACATTGTATGTATTATTAGTCATGAATTCTCCAACAAAAGGACAGTCAGAATAAAAGATGTTAATGAAGCAGGCAATTGCTAATTTAGAAATAACTATCCAAACACCATTACATCGTTATCAAATGCAAAACTTAGAGACATTAAAATAAAGATAGACTTCCTTTTTCATTTAAAAAAATTATAGATTCGTAAAACATGAGCAACTTAATCGTCCCTTGCTTAACAGCATGTTTCTAGTTACATTAAAATACATAAATTAGAGAGGAAAAGTATACATTAGATCAATTGCACCTTACTTGAGAACTCCTTTGTGCATTTATCATTGTGATCGGCTGTAAAATGACGGTTTACCATATAGCTGGTTGCATGATGATTATGAATTGCCCGCGAAGTCCAGTTCAGGCATCGAGACAAAACGTTTGTATTGTATTTGTCAAATGCATTCCTAAGTTCTCTTGTGTTTGCAATTTCCCTGGTGCATTCATGATTTGGAAGTAAAGAAAATAGCTCATCATCAATCAAAATTTATAAGGTTGCATACAAAAACAACTCATAGCTCATTAAAACATCAAAGAAAATAGTCCAACATCAATGAAAGGGATTTTTACGAGATTACCGAAAATCAAGAGATTCAACTGTGCGAGCTCTATCCATGGAAGCATAAGACGAAAGCGTTGGATTTGTATCAACGGTAGCATGGTTTGAAAACTTGGTAACAAGATGCGATTGGTCCAAGTTTGAGTGTGTTAGAATTGGGGCGCGATTCGTGAATCGCACCCTTTGCGCAATTTTGTGCATAGTGTTTGATTACACGGGAAACAGACGAAAGAACGTTAGGAAGAAATAACTCCAATGTTTTCGCGATGTCATCAGGATTTTTATTTTCTAACAAATGGGATCATCATGGATAAGGACGACAACAACTACAATAATAATGATAATAATAATAATAATTAAATATTTAATAATTTAATAATTTATTGTTTAAAGAAATATTTAAATTATTTTGAATTATTTTTTTTTAGAAGTTTAAGAAATTAATTAAATATAAAAATAGTAAGAAATTAATTCGTTATAGAAATTAATTTTACCATTTTTAAACTATCATATCCTTTGTTTCTTCTACACAACATATATTATATACATACTTAATATGAGACAACACTCTCAAAGAATAATATCATCTTTTACCAAGGCCAACCATGTGGGTGTGCAAGGCGGTCCACCCACTCGTAGAGCTAAGACCACCTCCAATGGTGATTTTTCAGATTGGTTTGCCAGTTTGACATTGAAATTGTCAACAAAAAAATTGTTTCAGCGGATGAACGGTACAAATATAAACAACGATTTTTCATATTTTTTTATTATTAAAATAATCAATTAGCCGTTGTGCAACGACTTTATTTTTTTATTTTTTTTAAACTTTTTTTATTTATTATAAATATAGGTTTGTTGAAAAATTGTATATCAATCCTATTTTCTCTCACTTTTATTTACTCTTTAATTTCAAATTTCTCTCTCACAATTTCATCATTTTATTCATAGATTTTTAATTTTTTTCCAACAATTTCTTCTCATTATCATTTTATTTCAAATTTTCATCTTTTTATTTCAAATTACATTTGTTTAGGCCAAATGGATCCTAATCATTTTCATTATCAACAAGTTATGTTCAATTTCATGCAAAATTATCAAAATCCTAATTCTCAAAATTCTCAAATTCCATCAGTACCACCAAACCCCGCCATATTTTTTCGTCACCAAACAATCCAAATATTTATCAAAATCCTAATCCTCAAAATTCTCAAGTTCCACCATTTTCTACTCAAGTTGGTGTTGAAAAAGAAGAAAGGGTTCTCGTTAAAAAAAATCTCGAGAGCAATTTACAAGGGATGAGGATATATGTCTTATCCAATCATGGCTCAATGTTTCAAAGGATCCAATTGTGAGAATTGATAAAAAAGCTGAGAGTTTTTGGCATAAAATCACTGCAAATTATAACCAGTATCGCGGGCAATTGCGAGAAAAGTTAAGTGGTCAATTAAAATGTCGATGGCATCGAATAAATGCGTCGGTTCAAAAATTTGTTGGGTGTTATAGACAAGCTGTCAATGGAAAGAAAAGTGGGACATCAAAGAATGATATCATGGCTGCTGCACATGCTTTTTATGCTCAAGATCAAGGTAAACATTCAATTTTGAGTATGCATGGCGATTGTTAAAAGATGAAGCTAAATGGGGCATCATCGGAGAATCGATTGGAAATTATTCAAAAATGACACAGACTTCTGCTAGTGGGGCATCATCGGAGATCCCTGATACATCTTCAAGTTATGAGTTTAACTCATCATCATCAATGGAGCGTCCAATGGGACAAAAAGCAGCAAAAAGGAAGGGTAAGGCAAAGGAAATTTCAAATGCAACGCAAGATGCAAGGAATAAAAGAGCAGAAACAATGGAAAGACTTGCGCAAAGTAAGGAGGACGAGATAGAATTAAAGGTAATGCAAATCATGATGAAAGACACTTCTACTATGAACGAAAGTCAACGAGATATTCATGAAAAATATTGTAATAAAATGAAGAAAAAAATATGGATTGTAGTTAGTACCACTTTAAATTATATGTAAAATGGTCATTAGTACCACTTTAATTTATCAAATCCTATGTAAAATGGTCATTAGTACCACTTTAAATCATAATAAATATTATGTTGTTCAAACTAGCCGTTATTCAAACTAGCCGTTATTCAAACTAGCCGTTATGAATAACTAGCCTTTATTCAAACCATTATATATACTACCACTTATGTCATTGTTTTCTCATTCTCTTCTTATTCCTCACTAAAATGGATTCAGACAATTCAGATAATTACGATCAAGAATTTTGGGAGTTAGTTGAAGAAGAATTTATGGACGACAGTGATGAAGAATAACATCTTCAAAATGAATGTCAATTTGGAAGTTCCTCTAGGCCAAAGAGAAGAACTACGGTAGATCGAGATCGTGAAGAAGGGCACAATCGGTTATTCAATGACTACTTCTCAGAAAATCCAGTATACACAGATGTACAATTTCGAAGAAGGTTCAGAATGCATAGGCATGTGTTTCTTCGAATTGTAGATGCCCTCGGCAATCATGATGAATATTTCCAAATGAGGGTCGATGCAACTGGTAAGATGGGTCTTTCACCATTGCAGAAATGCACATCTGCTATTCGTATGTTGGCATTTGGGTCTCCCGCTAACATTATAGACGAATATGTTCGAATCGGTGAAAGTACCTCAATTGAGTGCTTAGAAAGATTCGTTAAGGGCGTGAATGTTGTATTTGGGGCTGAGTATTTGAGAAAGCCTAACAACATTGATATTTAACATCTTTTACAAATGGGTGAGTCACGTGGCTTTCCAGGTATGTTGGGTTCCATTGATTGTATGCACTGGGAATGGAAGAATTATCCTGTTGCATGGAAAGGACAGTTTTGTCGAGGTGATCATGGTAAACCCATGATCATGCTTGAAGCAGTGGCATCACAAGACTTGTGGATTTGGCATGCATTTTTTGGTATTGCAGGTTCAAACAATGACATTAATGTGTTAAACCAATCCAATGTGTTTAACGATATTTTGGAAGGACGTGCTGCTAATGTGCAATATATAATCAATTGAATTCCTTATAATATGGGGTATTATTTAGCGGATGGAATATATCCTGAGTGGGCTACATTTGCCAAAACTATTTCGATGCCACAAGGAGAAAAGAGAAAATTATTTGCACAACACCAAGAATCGGCTAGAAAGGATGTGGAACGTGCGTTTGGAGTGCTTCAATCTCGTTTTGCAATAATACGTGGTCCAGCGCGTGCTTGGCACATGGAAACCCTCAATCATACCATATATGCTTGCATCATATTGCACAACATGATTGTCGAAGACGAACGACACACATATAGAGGTGATTTTGATTACTATTACGATAATGTCGATAACAACAACTCAACGACTGAAACATTTAATGGTCCTCATCCGAATCTTGCAACAAGACAACAAAGAAGAGCAACTCTTCGTGAAAAACAAGTTCATCGCCAACTTCAAGAAGATCTAGTCGAGCATATTTGGGAACGTTTTGGACATGAGGACGATGGAAATTAAATTTGAGTAATTATGTTATGTAATTTATTTTTATTGTTTTTAATTATATGTCATGTATTTGAGATTAATTTTAATTATCATTTTAAATTTTATGTTTAATTTTAATTTTATTTATTTTATATTAATTTAAATTTAAATAATTTAAATTATTATTTTAAATCAAATAAAATTTAGTATGAATAAAATATTAATATACAAAGTAAAATTGTGGGACCCAATATAAGTTCTTTAAAATTGCACCATTTGAGTAAAAAATTGAGTGAGTTGCTTCAAGATGATGTGGCTTAATGGGTCCCACAAAGAACCCAAATATGAGTAGCACCATTGGAGATGCTCTAAGGGGTGACTAAAGAAGAGTTAAGGGGCGGCTAAAGAAGGTCACAACCACTATTGTTTTTTTTTTTTATAAAAAAAAACCATATCCTAATGATGTAGTGCAGTTGCCATTTGATATAAATGAATATTAAAAATCAATACTTTTTCAAATACAAGTTGAAAAATATCTTGTTGATTTGGTTTAGTAATACTACTCCGTTTCATATTATAAATAAATTTCATTTTTTTAGATTTATTGAATAATTAATGTATCTGATCAATATATAAATCAGATACATTAATCATTTAATAAATATAAAAAGGTAAATTTTGCTTATAATATGAGATAAAATGAGTAATTAAAAAAGATTAGTAAATATTTGTTAGAATTAACTTAGATTTTATAATTAATTAGATATTAATTTATATTTAAAAATATCATTTAGATTGTTTATATCTTTGTTAGAAGATATATTTTAGATTTAATTTTGTGTATAAATAGCCTAGTGGAGTAGGTTATTGTAATTCATTGTAAATCCTTATTTTGAAGCTGCCAATAAATATTTATTTTGCCTTTTATCTTCCTTGTGCAGCAACAATTGGTATTTAGAGCTCCAGGTTAAAAATTCTAGGATTTGGGAAACATTGTTTTTTATTGAGTTTCTGCGTAAATTGTACAAGGTAGAAGATGAACGGAAACGACGCTAATATCCATTCCAAGCTTCCAGTATTTGATGGCAAAAACTGGAATCGTTGGAAGATCCAGATGCGCGTGCTATTTGGTTCTTAAGATGTGTTAGATCTTGTCACCGATAGCTATAATCTATTAGAAGCAGACGCAACAGAGGCACAAAAGGTAGCATAGAAGACGCTGAGGAAGAAAGACCAGAAGGCGTTGTTCTACATCCATCAATGTGTGGATGCGAATGTGTTTGAGAATATTGTTAATTCTGAAACAACAAAGGTTGCATGGGACACACTGGTCAGATGTTACGGTTGTGACACATCAGTGAAGAAGGTGAAACTTCAGTCTCTCAGAAAGCAATATGAGAATCTCAACATGAAGGAGAACGAGAAGGTTTCTGAGTACGTCTCTAGAGTGATTCTGATCACTAATGAGATGAAAGCTTGTGGAGAAACCCTTTCTGAACAAACAATCATTAAGAAGATCTTGAGATCTTTAACTTCTCAGTTTAATTACATTGTGGTTGCATACCTGTAGATGAGGTTATACTTGATGAACCGGGCTACGATGTTCTTGGTAACTGAGGCAAATGAAGCTGCTTCAACCCACTTGGTAAAGTAGTCAATGGCGACAAGAATGAAATGGTGTCCATTTGAGGCAGTAGGCTTGATCTCTCCAATTATATAAATGCCCCACATTGCAAATGGTCAAGGAGCAGTCATGATATTCAAATAAATTTGAGGCACATGGACCTTATCAGCATAAAATTTGGCACTTATGGCAAGTCCTTGAGTGGTGATGACAATCGGTTTCCATGATCGACCAATAGTAACCTACTCTCAGAATCTCTTGGCCATAGTATGTCCACTACAATGAGTACTAAAGATACCTTCATGCATATCCTCAATGATCTTCTCTACTTCCTTCTTGTCCATACAACGAAGAAGAATTAAATCATGGTTGCGCTTGTATAAGATCCCATTGCTCAGGAAGAACTTGGCTGAGAACCTCCGCAAGAATTTATTATTGTTGACTGATGCCCCTTCAGGATACTCTTGAGCTTCGGGATATCTTTTCACCTCATGAAACCAAGGTTTCTCCTCTACACCCTCAGTGTCAATCTCATAGCAATGAACTAGTTCATCAAATCTTTCGACAGTAATCCGGGGAGCTTCGTTGTCCCATTTGATCTTAAACATGGATGACATGGTGGCTAGGGCATCTGCCAACTGATTTTCTTCCCTCGAAATATGCTCAAAGGAAACCTCTTCAAAGTATGGGATCAAGGTTAGTACAAGCTCTTTATAAGGGATAAGGTTTGGAGGTTTTGTACCCCACTCTCCTTTAACTTGACTGATGACCAAAGAGTAGTCTCCATATACACTGAAGAATTTAATTCTTAGGTCAATAGAAACTTTAAGACCCAAGATGCACGCCTTATACTCATCCATGTTGTTAGTACAATCAAAGCAAAGTCTAGCAGTGAAAGGGGTATGACAACCTTCGGGAGAAATGATCATAACACCAATTCCGTTACCAAGAGCGTTGGAAGCTCCATCAAAAACCATAGTCCATCGTGATCCTTGTTCAGGTCCTTCATACAGTTCATGCTTTTCACAGTCTGTTATCAGTATGATATTCTCGTCTAGGAATTAAAAGTTCATAGATTGGTAATCATCCATAGCTTGATGTGCTAAATGATCTGCCAGTACACTTCCTTTTATTGCTTTTTGTGTAGTGTACTGGATATCGTATTCAGTTAAGATCATTTGCCATCAGGCTATCCTTCTGGAGAGAGCTGGCTTCTCAAAGATATACTTGATGGGATCCATCTTAGAGATCAATAGAGTGGTGTGAGTCAACATATATTGTCTTAGTCGGCGAGAAGCCCATGCCAAAGCCCAACAAGTTTTCTTGAGTAGTGAATATCTCGTTTCACAGTCAGTAAACTTTTTGCTAAGGTAGTATATTGCATGCTCTTTTCGACCAGACTCATCATGTTGTCCTAGCACATACCCCATTGAATTCTCTAAAACAGTTAAGTACATAATCAAAGGCCTTTCTTCAATTGGTGGAATCAAAATTGGTGGTTCTTGTAAATATTCCTTTATCTTGTCAAAAGCTAATTGTTAATCGTCATTCCATCTTAACACTTGATCTTTCTTCAACATCTTGAAAAGTGGTTCACAAGTGGCAGTCAAGTGAGAGATGAATCGGGCAATGTAATTGAGTCGTCCTAGAAAATCTCTAACCTCCTTCTCAGTACGAGGAGCTGTAATTTCTTAGATGGCTTTGACCTTTGCGGGATCAAATTCAATACCTTTGCCACTGACGATAAAACCTAGGATCTTACCAGACCTTACCCCAAAGATGCATTTGTTAGGATTCAACCTTAGCTTGTATTTTTTTAACCTCTAAAACAGCTTGTGCAGATGATCAAGGTTCTCTTCTCCAATTTGGGACCCTGCTATCATATCATC